ATTTTATTTTTTATTTTTAAACTTGTTTTTTTAGTTTCAATTCATTTTTGCTTCTTTTTTATTTTAAATATTTGTAATTCCTGTGCCTATATTGACTTTGATTAAGTTTGATTTGAGACCAGGAAACTCAAACTGTCATAAAACTTATGCACTTGCATTTCAGTAGACATTGGCTCACACTTATGTTTATTTTTTTACAGATATTATAATAGGAAATATGTATTTATTTAAGTATTTATATAGTCTGCAGTAATTTAAAATTATTGACTTTTTTTATTTTACACCCAATTTAATTTTGTTTTGTTGTGCACTTAAAAATGTTTTTGTAATTATTGCGTCCTGTATTTTGGTCTGCAAGAAGAAATTTCTTTTACAAATAAGTGCCTTTGTTTGTGTTTTCTGTTATACTGTAAGTGATTTGTGTTTTCCTGTACAACAAATAAATAAATAAATAAGTCAATTGTTCTAATTTTGCTTAACAACAAATCTGCAACAAAATAAGATAAGAAATGAAACTCAATAACTAAATACGATATTAAAATCTGCTTATAGAGGGTGGTAGATCGTGGTTCACTGATCCCAGACATATTATTTACTCAATTTCCTTGATTACATTATGTAATGGAGGGCAGCATAGCACAAGTTTAACATAATTTGAGCTCCTGTCTCCCAAACTTTTCCCTATTATACCTGTGTATGTGTGTATGGTGGGGGAAAATAAACGAATTTATTATCATTCATTATTACTATTGTATATCCATTTTTTAGATTAATACTAATCAAATAAAGTGAATTATGTGTAAATGCAATTGTTCCACAAATTACCATCAGAGAACATCAACAGTGAATAATAAAAGCGCATGGCGAGACGTAAACAAAACCCTTACCTTATCAAAATCGCCTGTTTGACGAACCAAATTGTACTCAATCACAGCAAAAACAACTAATTTATTAAAGACGAATTATGAGGAAATTAAGAGTTCACTGTAATTTATTCACAAACTGATTACGTTTTAGGAACTAAGCGGTTGATTGCGTACGGTTGAAGCGATGGTTGGCTACCAAGTGGCGGAAAATCGATACAGTGCCGCGGTGAAAATTGAAATGCAACAAGTGGTAGTTTTTATGCACTTAACTTACGTGAGAAACTTTTTGCTGCTGTGATAGTCCCAATATAGTTTTCTCCTTCTCAATTTCGCGTCTTTTCTCTGTAATTAGCCTTTCTAAATCATCCGACGATATCATTGTTTTGAAATGGGAAAAAAGTTTCACTTTCCTTGGCGGGAAGGGAATATCTTTCAATTGTTTATTGAAGACGAGAAAATATAGAAAGACTCATAACATTTAAATAGGGAAGCTTGTAGAATACTCTGGAAATACAATAATTAACATTTTGATATAAGATCGCCTCGAAACATGAAAATATTCCTATCCACAACAATCAAAACATCACAAAAAAAAAAACGTTTTGATCAAATTGATTTAAAATTTGACATTGACAACAAAGTTTAGTGTTGCTATAAAACACGTTAAGTATTGCCTTTTAGAAAAAATATAATACCATTTTGATAACCGCTGCTGAGTAAATAATACATTATACACTTTTTGTAAATACCGGGTGGAAATTTGTAATGCCACGTGGAGGGAAAGTACTCTAAATACTGGAGATAGAAATTTTTACTTAAAGTAAACATTCCTTTATTTTTTTAAAGAAATAAAACTGCATTCATAGATTTTGGAAAATTTCTAGCAACACGCGGGAATCGAACCCGCTTTAATCTGAAAAAAATGCACCCTGCACTTTTATTGCATCGATCGATAGGGTTAATTATAAGAATAAAATCTCTCTCACAAAATTGGTTAATTAAATGAAAAAAAACCATGAAATCTTAACATATTTTAATAAAACGAAAAAAAATGGTAATCTAACTAATTAGTTGCTCGAAATGAGCTCCATTTTCTTGGATACACAAAATCTTTTTTTTTTTGACGAATTCATTTCATATATGATTTCTGAAACTATTCATGGATACAGCCCGCTTGCGCGCTGCGTTGATACATTGCCGTTACTGATATTCGGTCTCAGATTTCGATGCTATATATTGTTGGATATAGTTCTACAAGAGCCATACGGGCCAATGTTGGTATACAGTTTCGAAGACGCACAAAAAATGGTTTCGCGTTGATATCCACTCAGTGAATATCTGATACGAAGCAATATCGGTATATAGTTTGGAAAATATATTATTTCGTGTTGGTATCCACTGGGTAATCCCTCGGCTTGATTCGGCATCGCCATAAAATACGCGATGCGGACCCATATCGATATATAGTTTCTAAGATACACGACATCGGATATTCGATTTTGCGACAATATATAGTTTCAATAACTATATACGATTTGTAACGCCCATTCCTAATAACCACAACAGTTTAAATAGTACTTCGATAGTGAATGAGTTATGCATTGTGTAAGAATATAATGTGCTACGTTACATTATCTGCTATTCTAGTAATGATTTCTTTTAGTGTTGATCACTCGTACGTTTTACGTTATTATTTTGTCTGTGTCTCGTGCAAGTAGCAGTTTGAAGTGGTTTGAAGTTTGAAAGTGGGAGTAGTTTGTTTATGTTCGAAACTTGAAATATTTTGTTGTTCTAAGTTATTGTGCTGCTATTGTACCATGAATAATGTGAAATGTGGATTAAAAGAAATTCAATTGGAATTAATTCAGAGAGATAAACAAGAAGAGCAAGCCATCGGTAAGTTGTATTTTGTTCGTTACTATTAAGCAACTAAATTTCAATACTCTTTTTACAGGGCAAACATGCGCATGCCAAGTGGCAACTTAATTTATTTACGTTATAGTACCTACTGTCAATTGTCAAATTAGTAAACATAACCTGAATTTCGAATGAAGTTTACAATATATAAGTAAGAAAAGGCAGTATTTTATGAGTTAAAATGAATAAGTTAACTTCGTACACGATTAAAGAGATTCACAAAGCATACCGTGATAAAATATTAACACCAACAAGCTTCGTAGATTCGTGTTTGCAAAAGGTTCGTCAAACTAGTGAACTGAACGCATTTGTGGCTTTAACCGACGATGTAGCCGAAACCCAAGGGATAGAAAGTGAGAAACGCTTCTACATTGATAAGAAACATCGGCCTTTGGATGGTATTACTGTAGGCCTTAAGGATAATTTTTGTACAAACAATATTGCCACTACCTGTGCATCGAATATGTTGAAAAACTTCATACCCACCTATGATGCAACTGTATATTCCAAATTAAAAGACGCTGGTGCCTGTTTGGTAGGTAAAACGAATCTGGATGAGTTCGCTATGGGTTCGGGTACAGTGGATTCTATATTTGGCCCTACTAGGAACCCTTGGGGCTATAAAGTTGAAAACTGGAGAATTGCTGGAGGTAGCTCTGGAGGAAGCGCCGTAGCCGTCAGTTCAGGGGCGTGTGTGGCTGCTTTAGGATCAGACTCTGGCGGATCAACACGAAATCCCGCAGCATTGTGTGGGGTTGTAGGAGTGAAGCCTACATATGGTCTAGTATCAAGGTATGGTCTCATACCTTTAGTAAACTCTATGGATGTTCCTGGAATCTTAACTAGAACTGTTGATGATGCTGTTTCAATCTTAAACTGTATTTCGGGTCCAGATATTATGGATTCCACAACTATTAAAAAGGAGTTCAAAGAAGTTGTACTTAGAGATGATTTTGACTTGTCAAAGGTAAAAATTGGTATTCCTAAAGAGTATTACTGCGACGGTATGAGTCCAGAAGTCATAGACATGTGGAAATTTGTATCAGACATTCTTGAAAATGAAAAGGCTGCAGTCAAAACAGTTTCTCTTCCTTATACATCAGTGTCTATTGCTGTATATTCAATATTAAATCAATGTGAAGTAGCAAGCAATATGGCAAGGTATGATGGATTAGAATATGGACTGCGTGCGGATGAAGATTATTCTACAGAAGAGTTATATGCATCAACACGATCCCAAGGCTTCAACAATGTTGTACGATCAAGAATATTTGCAGGCAACTACTTTTTATTAACTAGAAATTACGAAAAATACTTCATCAAAGCATTAAAGCTACGAAGATTGATTTCTAATGACTTTAAAAATGTTTTTAATGGGGATAATAAAGTTGATGTACTTCTGACACCGACTACACTGACTGATGCACCAACAATTGAAGAATTTTCATCAAAAAATAACAGAGACCAGTGTGCTTTTCAAGATTATTGTACTCAACCGGCAAACATGGCAGGGATACCCGCTGTTTCAATTCCAATACGCCTTTCAAAGAATAAACTACCACTGTCATTACAATTAATGGGCCCTAATCTCTCTGAAGAACTTTTGTTGAATGTTGCTAGAAGGATTGAAAGTATTGTAAAGTTTCCTTGCATAGATTCTGTTAACATTAATACTAGTAATGTCTAATTTTTTGTAAAACTACTGAGAACTTGAGAATAACATAAGTACATATTCAATTATATTAGTGTGTTTCATTTCTCACTTTGTGTATATACACAATTAAATTATATCAATTATATTTTCATTGCACCTAAAAAAATCCTAAACTCGTCATATAGCTAATAAACCAGAAACGTTTTTTTTTTTCAAACAAACCAATGTTTCGGGCCGTTACAAGCCCCTTGTCACTGCTGGCTCCATGAGACATTGATCCGAAAAAAATGATTATTCAATCAAAGAAGATTAACTTCCATAATTTTTTAATAATGGGATTTCAGAGAGTAGGTTCAGGAGGGAAGGTATTCGCCACCCATGCATATTATTTTAGTTTTGGGTTTTTTTCATGTGGCTTATCACAAGTGCTCCTGGTGATAAGCCACACGCCTGTCCATAGCAGTTGCAGTGCACTCAGAGCTTTAAATTGCAAAAATCGCCACTGCGCCCGTCACCCTGATACATAAGTTGACAAGTCTCATGTGCCTGTAATTTCACCAGCCCCCTAAACAAAGCAAAGAATATTTTAACAGTAAAACCAGTTTACAATTTTTGTCTATTTAAATCTTTCTTAATAAACAAGATTGGCTCCGTTTGCATATTGTTCACTCTTGAGCATAGATATTAGTTTTGATTGATCGGATTGTCAGCGGAAGTACACAAATACTATACTATAAGATACGCATGCAAAAAAAAAAAATCGTGTGTTACCATTGTATGTTACTAATGAATGTGTTACTTCTATTTTCAGCTAATCAAGCCTCAGAAACGCTGAAGTCTTTAAATGTATCCATTGATGCTCTACCACAAAGATGCCAGCAACTACTTCACACATTCATATCAATGCAAAACGAACTAAATATAAACCAATACGACCCTATTTCGACATCGCTAAGCCAGACTAAACTAACATCGGAGTGCCTTGAACAAGAATATGAAATTTTAGAATTAAAACAAGATAATTTGAAGTTACGGAAGAAAATAGAAAGAAATGAAAAGATTCTAGAAGAATTAAGGAAAGATCTAGAATGTTCTAGAAATTCATTGAATAATCAGAAGCCAAACCCAGAAAATATTGAGGAACACCTCAGGCAAATGAAACAGAAATTGATTTCTTATGAGGAAATTTACGAGAAGGCAAAGGTAGTTTATGATTTACCGATTCAGCACTTACTTACGACTCTTATCCACTGTTAAACGAGAACTCTTATAGAAGACAATAAAAGACCACCCCTTTGACCCAATACAGGTTTATTTAATTTTATATGTTTCAGTATTTTTATATTTAAAGTTTTTTTTTTGCGAAATTTTCCTTCATTGTTAATGTTAACGAGCATCACACACCGAGCGCCAAACGTTGATAACTCTGTAAATTTCGTACGTTTAATTTAGGAAAAAAATCGCGTCGCGCTCGATATATAGAGATCCTTATGTTTTAAAAACACATATATCGTGTATGCTTATATGTATATATATTATCTTTTCCAGGCAAAGATTACCAGATTGCAAGTACCCGAGTCGCTCCTGTTATCCCTAAACGAGCTAACAACCCAAGTGGATACGCTCAAATTGCAGGAACACGAATTGAAACAACGTGCTGATGACATCACACTGGCATCACAGTGCCTCTCTACACTTCATAAGCTGAGGAGAACTTGATTCATAAAATAGTAACCTGCAAAGTAGTAGTAAATAGGACATGTATGGTGACTCCCAAACACACATGACAGCGCGGCTTGTATTTATATGTGAACGTTCACTGCGCCGTGTACGGACCCACACATTAGCATAGTCTCGCACACACGTCGCACAGCGCGAGTAGCACGCGCCATTTATTATAAAATTGACTCAGTGTTTAAAAAATGGCGTCAAATTGTAGACTTTTTATTGATGTTTGTAACCACAAACACAGTTTTGTTCTCAGCAATTCAGAATTGTTCAGCATATTATTTCTATGTCATAAGAAGAATCCTACGCTCTAATCAGTCTACCAATCAGCGATGGTGGTATAAAAATATATAATGCATTTTAATAAATATTAATTTTTCGGAAAAATAATAACCCGCACACACTCATAGTACCGCACTAGGGAAACCCTGTATCGCGCGTGACTTGGACACACACATAGACAACCACAAATTACACCCAAACTCACGAGAGAAACAAATGTACGCCCAGGTTCGATTCCCGGGCCGGGCGAAATATTTGTATGACCTACATTTATTTCTCTCGTGAGTTTGGGTGTAATTTGTGGTTGTCTATGTGTGTGTCCATGGCACCCGCGACACAGGGTGTCCCTAGTGCGGGGCTATGTTGAGTGTGTGCGTTATTATTATTATTATACAAATATGTCTCTCGGCCCAGGAATCGAACCCGGGACCTCTGCGTGGCAGACCAGCATGGTAACCGTTCGGCCATGGAGGCAGTTACGAATATATATTTTTCCGAATATTTTTCATATTTTTTTGCCGCATTTAACAGTTGACACCTGTGAAAAGATTTTTTACCTATGATGATTCCTGTTTTCGTTGTTGTCGAATAATTTTACTCTAACGTGCTTGAACTATACAATTTTATTTTATAATTCAAGCTAAATAAAACTCCAAAAGATATATCTAAACGTGGAACATAATAATTTGAATTATATTTTCTTAATTTATCAGAAAATTTCAATTTAAATTACCCATCTAAAATATTAATGTGACAACCCTGCGCTCCGAGCGAAGATTGACGCGCCGAATGGGCGGGAGTTACACTACTGTTCTTATTATAGTATCTATGTAGGTTAGGTACATACATTAATTCCGAACCTGGAATTTATATTCCATCCCCAAACTAGAAGTGTTGAAAATGGACTAATGTAAATACGACTTGTAATTATAATAATCCCCGATTCACCGTATCATATATTTTTTTAATACGGCCAATAAAGTTGCTAAATATTATTGAACGAAAAAAAGGAAAAGCTGGAGATTTTTATATAATGTCGTGTTTTCGTACAAAACTTAAATAAAATCGTATTATTCTGTAAATATGGATGAGTTTGCGTATATTTCTGAACGCTTTTATGATTGGTTGATTATTAATTCGTTACGTATACATTTACAGTTTTTAGGAAATTTGACACTTTATCTATGTCAATTGTGTAACGTACAAACTAGATACAATAATTCTACGGAAGACGCGCTACCTCTTTTTAACCGACTTCAAAAAAAGGGGGAGGTTCTCAATTCGACTGTGAACCGATTTTCTCGATTCTTTTTTTGTTGGAAAGAGGGTATCTCTATAGTGGTCCCGTTTAATTTTGAAGAAAATCATCCACCTCGAAGGGTGGCGGCTCACGCATGAAGATTCATTTTTATAAATAGCGCCTAAATTTAATTTAGGAGCAATTGCTTTAATGGTTGATTATGCTATTCTCCAATTCAAGGCGCTTTTGTCTCTCAGTATACTTTGAGTAGTGAGAACCGATTTTTATTATCTCCAGTGTCAAGTCCTGTATAGTGGCGAACTAGGGGATATTTCAATAAAACTTGGCAAATAGACGTAATTCCAGGTACTTTTTGGAGGTCGGTTTTTTTGGATAGTATCTAGTCCATACTTACGTAACACAATTGTTATAAAATTCATTATGCTATGATTAGAAAAAATCGCTTCCATCCGCAGCAATGTAAGTTGAGCCTGAGCGCGTGTCGTCATTGAACATTCAATGGGAACCACGTGGGGATCTACTCGCGGTCTCCGACATCTGTCCGAAACAATTACTGTCAAATAAGTGATACTATGTTATGTGGGGTTTTGTTGAGTGTGTGCATTACTATTATTATTAAAATTCGAGCCAATCAATAGACTATACAATACAAATACAAAATGCTTCGTTTCTCTCAGAAAGGTCTATAAGTAGTTACATTTCATATATAATAACAAGTTCCTTAGTGAGAGCTAGAGTCTGTACTAGGTTGGAGACCTGTGTTACAGATCACCGGGCTTACTCCCTCTAGGTGTATAAAGAACGTAACATTATTTTAAAAATATATTATTATATTACAAAATAAAGCGTAGCAAGAAAAAAACAATGTGTGTTCGTGCGTAAGTGCGTGCGCGAGTGTGTGTGAGTGAGTAAGTGCGCGTGTGTGTATGATTTAAACCTAACCCGGAACGATAAGTAGTTTTTCAGTCGATTCATAGTCGAGATTGAATAGCCAGTTTAAAATAACTTTCTTACATTTCGCTCTGCACAAAGGGTGAATATTAAGACCACTGGTAATCTTATTATATATGTAGCCTCCCAGAAAATAAAAATGACGCTGTACAAAACTAGTGAAAACTGTAACTGAAGGACAAACAGTGTGTTTACGTCTAATAATGTTGAGATTATTAGAGTCATAGACAATGGCAAGTATGAAGCTTCATTCGCATTATGTGTCGTTTAATTTCGTCGAGTACCTACTACTTATTTGACAGTAATTGTTTCGGACGGATGTCGGACGGGAGTACTTCTACTTTTAAATGTTACGGCCCCATCGAAATAATCGATGATTTCGCCAATGTCAAGTAAAAACGACTATATGCGATAGTTTTATAAAAATTAATATAAAAATTATGGCGGACGCCATTAGCAAGTCCGGTACCGCCTACGAACTCCCCATATTTATTTCAGGAGCGGAGTAGACCCCCAGGCACTACTTTCGTTCTGCATCCGAAACAATTACTGTTAAATAAGTAAAACTCGATTAAATCAGAAGATGATGACAAATAAGAAACTTCATTCGCGTCATGCGTCTTATTTGACTATAATTGTGTCGGACGGAGAACGCGAGTATAGGGCCTGATATAAAACTCTTTCTTTACTATTGAATAAACTATGTTTGATCTATAATTATGTTAGTATGTTTAAGCTACAACTATAGTATACATTTTGTATATTAAAACACGTAAGAAAATGTTGAGTACATTTTATTAAATGCTAACATAAATAAGTTAAGTTTAAATTAAATTAAAAGTAACACTAAAACAATGGCCTAGGGTCCAATATAGAGCACAGAATTATATTCCGCCGTATTATTAAGGTGAATTATAGTTGACACTACGATGAATTAAGGCCTGTACAGGTATATAGTACGTGATATTCGCTACTGGTATGGAATTACTTTATTAAGGTGCATTTGTAATCTATTATGCTCAGGCAACGCTTCCGCGGCCACCTTTGTGTGGCCAGAGCATTAATCACCTCTGATTCCTCCTCGAGTCAAGTAACAAAGGAAAGTAGAACTTTAAACCTTATTTTAAAAATTAAAGTAGGTTCTGCTCTTGAAACTGTGAACTTGACACAATTAAAAACTAAGTAGGTTCTGCTCTTGAAAAGAAATTATACTCGAGTAAATTAAAACGAACTTGCATCGAAACTTGCAACTTGTTACCATATATATAAATTAGACAATACTGTCTACAGTACAGTGAATAATTTATATGGAAATTTCCCCACTAAACGTTGTTCTTTGGGTACAATGCTACAGATTACTAGTAATTATACAAAATGTTAAGGGGAAATCGACGCTAGCTACACCACTACGCGCTTACGCACTGATGAATCCCTTCGGAAATAGTAAGGTTGAGTAACTAAGTTACAATTTATTGAAGTATAGCTTGGTTAATTCTTTTAGCATTTTCATGCATGCGCCTGTCGTCCCTCTCTTCTTTTCTTCTAGTCTTCTTCTTCTTCTTCTTCTTCTAGTCTGTCTACCCTTTTCATATCGACACACACACTCTTTGGGATCGCTGAAACCAAAACACATTTTTAAGTAATACTTTACTCTGCACAACCCAAACTAATATTATAAATGAGAAAGCCTGTTAAAGTCTGTTACGTTTTCACACTTAAACCGCTAAACCAATTTTGGTATAGAGATAGATGTGACCTAGGAAAAGGACAGAGGCTACTTTTTGTCACAAAAATAAATCTTAAAGGGTGTGAAATAGGGGATGAAAGTTTGCATGATATGATGAAAACCATTAAAGCTGTGAAATTGAGTATAGTACACAAGGCTTCTCGAAGTACTTATTCTATGCTGACAAAGTCGCAGGCACCAGCTATAGTAACATATAAAACCAAAGATTTGGAAATTGAATTTGAAGATCGTTAAAATAAAGAACCTGCACTTGAAGATCGAAAATTAAATAACGCACACACTCATAACCCCATACTAGGGAAACCCTATGTTGCGGATGCCATGGACACATACATAGAACACCACAAAGTACGCCCAAAATCACGAGAGAAATAAATGTAGGCCATAAAAATATTTCTCCCGGCCCGGGAATCGAATCCGGGACCTCTGCGTGGCAGACCAGTGATAACCGTTTGGCCACTAAGGCAGTTGTTTACAAACGTTGTCTCTTCCGTGGTAGTAGTTCCCTGAAAGTAGACTTTCTCCCCTGGAAGTTGGGAACTAATGGAGAATAGTGTGTGGCCACTTAGATCTTTTTAAGTAGATATGTATGTAATGTGTTGGTCAAATAGGGTGTAATGGAAGCATAGCACACACAGCATTTAAAATGTTTGTCCTGACCGTAGTGTCTTATTCAAAATAAGGGAGTCATCACACTTATTAATACAGAATCACATTAAGCTGGTCAGAAAAAGCCTTATGTCCATGTAAGAAGAGCGAAAAAGATGTTCCGCTTGTTGCTTTCATTCGGACCGCTGCTGATACGAAACGCGCAATTTTGTTCTCGCTCTCATAGCATGGACATAAAGTCTTTTCTAACTGGCTCAAGCCGATGCCGCATTAATAACTCTGCTGGTGTCTCTTTAATTCTTCACTGCAGAGAGTCACGCAGTTTAAATACCTAGGGCACATTGGGAATGAAGACTTGAAGGATGACTGCGATATAGAAAGGGAACGCAGGGCGCTGTCTGTAAGAGGGAATATGCTGGCTCGGAGATTTGCTGGTTGTACACTTAATGTCAAAGTCACTCCGTTCAAAGCATTCTGCCAAATTTTTTACACCAGCAGTCTGTGAACTAGGTATTCCCAAAAATCATACAGCGCCCTGCGCATATTGTACAGCAACCTGGTCCGGGTGATGGTGGGGCTTCCTCGACACTGCAGTGCTTCGGGCATGTTTGCCGATGCGCACACAGACGACTTTTTTGCGCTTATGCGTAAAAAAGTTGCTTCTCTAATTCAAAGAGTGAGGGGAAGCTCCAAAGTCTTTTACAGGTAGTTGAAGGAAGGCTGGATGGTGCAGTGCTCGGCAGGTTCAACGAGCTGCACGCTACTCGTGCAGCTCGGTGACTCTGCCGACAGCGGTGTACCCTTTAGCAAGTATTCTTATTATTATTATTATTGTAGTACTAACATAGTTATTAAGGTTTTTCTGTTTACTAACAATCTATGGACCCTGTAGTCTGAAAATAAAGATATTTTATTTTATTTTTTATTTATTTAATGCCGGGTTCACGAGTTTTTCACATGCGTTTTTCGCTTGCTTGCTTCGGCTGGGTACACGGTGTAGAAATCTTCCATCCGCGCAAAGGCGTTCACGAGTCTTCCGCTTTGCGTTGCGTGTGATTGGCTAGTGGTGCTGTCCTGCGCAAACGTTCCATGTTGTTTGCGTGAAAATATCAAGCTTGCTAGATATCAAACTCACGCAACGCTAAGCAAGCGGTTGGCGTAAGCGAGCGACTCGTGCGCGTACGCGACAGATCTTTGCGTATACACGAAGCGAGTTATATACGCAAGCAAGCGAATTACGCAAGCGAAAGATTCGTGAACCGTGAATAAACAAAAAGGCTTACGTTTCAATTTGTCTTTGTAATGCGGGAGCCTTTGATCCATCATGTGTTGCCCAAGCCCCCTCTGTCCTCTGATACCCCACAAGTAGTAGTTGCACTTGGTGGTCATTATGGCAGCATCCTTTTTGGTTTGAGCGTTCTTGTCATGAAGTTCTGCGGTCTGGCAGTGTATGTCAGAACGGTAATGACTCTGGTTGGTCTGAGTAGAGTGCGTCTTAAAATTGGCCACGGTTGTCTGAAATAATGTGTGGCAATCAGATATCTATCTAGCTACCGTGTAGTTAGGAATAAGAAGTACCTAAGGCATTCACAGACAAGCGAATTTATGAAACCAAGATAAACTATTAGATAAGGTGTACAACATCTCTTCGTCTATTAAACAGGTCCTTTATTGTCATTGACAGTGGAAAAAAACCCATAATCGGAAATATCGAAATTTGGATATTTGTCCGTATCTGAAAAGGTTTCTCAAAGAACTTGATCAATGAATTTACCATATTTATCGCTCTCCTCTTGCACTCCCAGATGTTCCATGTGTATTCCCTGACGATGTTATCCTTCAAAGGATGCGTTTCCGTCTGTATATTCTTGTCAAAAACCACAGCTAAAACAAAAATTGTACCTGTCAACACGTTCTGAATTACTCTTCTTCGTTCTGTTTGACTAATGTTACTAGTAGAGGCGCTACACTGTACATCGCGTTTTTCTTAACAACCACTAGTTAACAGATCCCAGCACAAGACGCATTAGGTTATACGGGCTATCAATGCAAATATCATAGAAACAAAATAGCAGCGGCTCGGTCGCGCCGACAGAATTTCAAACTGCTTTCTGATTGTATTCGAACTGTTCGTTTTCAATTTCGATAGACACAATTGGAATGCAGAACATGTGATAACACCCTTATGATTCTTCTTCTGAAGGAGAATACGCTTAGCTTATGGTAACACGGGATTAATTACTCAATCTCAAATAATCCGTAGTTATAATTGCAATATAGATGATAAAAGAAGAACTTACTTTTCAAATCCTCTTTAACAATCAGTACATCCACATCTCTAACGGCCTCTATTTCAGCTCTAATTTGGAGGAACATGATAATTTGCGGATTATTTCTGGCATAATCTAGCAATGTGTTTATGTACCTAATGGAGTCAGAAATAATGCATTTCAATTTATAATTTAAAATAACATTATCAATGAGAAGTATTAATACTCGATTTTCATTGACTTACAATTATATGCACGTCGGGTCCGCGCTAAAAAGTGTCCGAACTTATAGGGCGTTAAAATCGTATATAGAGCGTCATTAACGCTTTAGTCTTCGTTTGTTTGACTGACGCAAAATTAGACAGTACTGCGATGCCAATACAATTTAAATTCAACGTTTTAGCCTTTTCATATTCCTTTACATGTCACTACGTTTAAATAGGTTGACTTGGGACATTTTTTCGTGGTTTTTGTATTAGACCCGTCGTCCATTTATTTGTAAGTCAATGTCGATTTTGTTATTTTAAAGTGCTTGCCGTAAAGAGGTTGGGTTATTCAAACTTCATCTAACACTGATCTTCCGTCGTCTTATACGAATCAGAGGGCAAGTAGTCCCGGTTTTATCCAGAAACCATTGGTTGGTTATCATGTAGGCAAATAGGCAGTTTCACTATCTTCACCTAAAGAATAACATGGCCATTCCCTTCTACAATTTCCGGGACTTCTCTTATCTATTGAAACTTGAGTACATATTGGCGACAAATTATTATTTCCTATTAAGTATTTGCTACAAATTATTGTCCCAAAAAGATACTATTGTGTTTTTGTTTCTATAGGTACCTACTACTTTAGCTATTTAAACAAATAAACACGAGACGATCTATATTTTGGAAAGTATAGAAAATAAACAGTAAAAAAAACTAAATATTATACGCATTGATGACGAAATGGGTATGCCCATACTAAAAAAAACGTTCATAATTTAGGTAAATTAACTCCCCCAATTCCGCTCACTGGCCATGATATATCCTGACAATAATCAGTAACTATTTTTGGTGATGTTGCAATCGAGTCACAGTGGACAAAAATCTTTATGTAGGAACAAGAGGACAAGTTCACAACAATAAGTAAAACATTTTGAATGAAACTAACCTCTGTGGGTCTTTAGCAAATCTGTTAGCCATCCTGCTACTACAGAATCCGTAACGACGTCCTTCGTATTTGATCTGTCCTAATTTGAGGTTGCTAGCTACAAGTGCCCCTTGGCACAAACACATGGTACAAAAACCGAGGAACTGAGGAATTATAAAAATATTATAATTTAAAAGGTAATAACAATTATAGTACATTCTCTTTTGATTTAATCGAATATTGCTTTTTTATATAATACAAAGTGACGGCACGAACAAGTCGTGCGCCTGATGATAAGCGACACGCCTATCCATAACAGTTGCAGGTCAGAGCTTTAAATAGTAAAGATCTTAAGAGCACTGCCACTGCGTCCGTCATCGTCACCTTGAGACATAAGTTGACAAGTTCCACGTCCCTGTAATTTTACCAGCACCCTTACCCTTCAAAACCAGAACACCGTAATGTTCACATTACTGTTTGGCGGCTGACAATAGTAAGGTGGCAGTACATCCCTGGGCCCGAACTCCTTCACAAGGAACTCCATTGCTACTAAAAATACACGTACATGGAAGTTACACACTGCGATTTCTAGCAGAGATGCAAACGCACGTTCGTGAAACGCCCGATTGCATCGTTACACTTGCGATTTATAGGCGATTGCATCGATGGAATCGCGCGACTGCGTCGATACAGTCGCTTATGTTGAATAATTATCTACGAAAAATCTGTATGGGTTTATGCACATTATTTTCTCTTTTAATTGTAAATTTAAAACGGAAATTAATAAATACAATAAATAAATAAATTAGTTAATTAATGTAAAATGTGCATCGTGTTTGTGTCGCATTTGCATCGCGTTTGCATTGCTACTTAAAGTCGCGTGCTTGTGTAAAGGTACACGATTAGCGACTGCATTGCGTTTGCATCACTGCCAAAAGTGACCGTGTGAAACGCTCCTAAGATGGCGGTTCGCGCTTCAGCAGTACTAAATAAACATCATTGATATTACAAACCTGTAATTGTTTATCCACTTTGAGCGTCAACAGACTATCTGTATTACGCACGAAGCTTGTAAACGTGGTTATAGACCCCGCGAAAGAATCACTGCGATCGTCATCACAATATTCGGAACAGGTAACACTGAAACTCATGCGCTCCTGTGAAAAAAAAACACGAGGCATGCCGTAACCTTAACCCAGGCTGAATAACTAAGAATATTGGTTGCCTTTTCATTACTTTGTGTTTGATTCCCAAGTATAACGATCATATCAAGATTTTTAATGAAATTAGCAAAAGGGAAATAGCAGTGCATTATACCAACAAGAGTAAAAGCGAACTACAGGTTTAAATATAAACGATCCGTTTTTTCTTCCGTACAACTTTGCCCCAAAACATATACCTATATTTTTTAATAAAAAATTTCGGTGAGTTCACAAAAAAATTAAATATAATTTATTAATTACTAGTAACACTAAAAATAATCATTTGCACATGTAAATAAATGACTGGCAAAGTGGCAACACAATAATTATGTGTGGCAATGTCTATGCTTCAAATGGTGGTATCCTGCTATCGGGATTATTTAAGAAATAGGTTAAACGACTTTAGCAGGAATAAAAATACACACTTATTAATTAAGGGTCCATTCTTATATTATTAAAATATCTAATAAGGTTAACTAAAAGATAAAGAGGTACTTTATCTTCGATCTACCATTACGTAAGAAGGATATTCTATGGCACTTTTCTTAAGAGGGAGCAGAGGAAAAAATTCCTATTCGATTTGATTTCAGAGGGGTATATCCACTTTAAAGTTAAAAATAAAATATTGTATGAGTAACTACACGATATATTCAAGCATAGACATTAATCAGAAACATAAAACAATAAAGTTTCCAATAGATAAAAATCACTAAATGACCTCTAATTTTCACATTTTTTCGATTTATCCTCGAAATGCCACAGGTTATTAGGGCAAAAATTAGATAGTTAATTATATTTATGCATGATCGACAACTGTCACTACGGATTTGTTTTAATCCCTTTAGTTTTAGACTTATTCCGCTAAAACGAATTTGGTACTTTTAATGCGCAAAATTCAACATCTCCAGGCGCATGACACGCGAACTTCAGGCATATATTTGTTTCACAAATCTGGGCGGAGCCAACGTCAAATATTTTTTGGCATGAGAGCTCTTAAGTGAGCGCGAGAGGCATCTTCGAATGTCAGTTGCTCGATAGCGCTTTTTAAATAAAGAATAGTTGTCGATTGATTTTGCAAACAGATTATTTGCTCATGTTTAATTACTTTTTATGCCCCCTACCACTACGGGGTAAATAGTTTATTTAATCGTAACCCTACTTATATGTTAGGGCGCGTTCCCATATTATGTCGTAACGTTTTATTTATTGTTGGACGACTGTCGAGTCTAGCCTGTTCCCATGACACGGCTATCTGTCGTGTCTAGCTTTCCCACTACGTTGTGACGACAATTTATCGGTTCACGGCAGCTGCCTTGTCGTTCGCACGACAGAATCGTTTGATGCTGCGATTATCTGTCGTTACATTTTTATCGTGGCGTTTTATTTATCGTCGGATGACTCTCGTTTTAACTGTTCCCATTGTCACGACAGTCTTAACGTCAAAAAGTCGTAAACGACAATTAATCGTGTTGTTCTATGTATGAACAACTTCATTTAAATATACAAAGTCACGACACTTTAAACTGCACTACTATCTATCGTCACGACATAATGATAATGGGGAACGCGCCCTTATTGGCTTTCTACGGAGAGGGACTTAGGCTCAACTCACACTGGCGCAGAGTCGAAGCGTCGCGACGCGTCATGTTTTTCGCCTATAGCATATTCATATCTATTTTTCCTATGTTAAGGTACAAATTTGTGTTATGCAAATATGGAGTCAAGCGTCGCCGCGCATTACTTGAGCGCAGTGAGGCGTCAGACCCCGACGACACTGTAATCCAGGTGTACTAATGCGAGAGTCGTCGCGCGAAAAGGAGGCCACGCGCAGCTTAGACTCTGCGCCAGTGTGAGTTGAGCCTTAGGTGGTATTTTATTTCCTTGGAAATTGAAACATTTGAATTTAGAGCATGAATTTTGAATCGAATATTTGAAAACACGTCGTAACAAATTTATGAATTTTGAATCGAATATTTGAAAACACGTCGTAACAAATTTTAAAAAGAAGATTGTTTACAAATAGAGTCAGTGCTATATTTTCATAGTAGGGGGAAGAAAATTAGACTGTTTTGACTCGCCATAATTATTTCGCTTCCTATTGACACAAAGTTCTACTAGGAATGAACATTTTATAGCCTACCTCATCAGTTACAATACGTTTCCCTTGAAGCATGTTTTCGAGTATATTAAACGGAATCTTCATGTGATCCTGGATATTCCCCAGTATGTTCGTCAATCGATTAATCGTGGACACTAGGTACATTGTGTTTTGCATTGATTCCCAAATCTCCCACAGTTTTATGAACTTTGGCTGAAAGAAGCATTTAGCATGTGTGTTTTATAGATGCATGCTTAAGAATCCAATCTGTTCTAGGTTCTATGTGTTTGTGTTTCGCAAAACTCACAAATACGGTCTCGCAAGGTACAGCATTCTTGAACTTGACCGCCGAATGTAAATCCGCCAAGGCCACTTCGTAAGACGACACTAGGACCTTGCTATACAACACTATTCGATCCACGTCGGTCAGTAATCGACGCGTGTACGTCTCATATTGACGATTGAACAGCAAAAGCTCTACCATTTGTTTATAATGGACTCTGTAATACCATATATTCACAAGATCAACAAGTTAGTAAAATTAAACCCTTCACTAACATACGAAGAATTACATAATTAAGATAATACCCACTAGCATCGAATTACTTATATAATTAAAGTAGGTAATACTAGCATAGCATGTCCATTTTAGTTCAAAATTATGACGATGTGACCTCTTTCATTGTCGTCCCACTTTTGGAAACTTGAATAGTTCTCTAATGCTTTTTCTTCGTCATGCTTACTTTGCTTCGTTCCGTAGCCACTCTTTACAAAATTCTCAAACAGCAAAAAAACATGTCCTTCAATCATGTAAAGGTTTACATGATTGAAGAACAAGGACAACTGCTTATAAAGCAGCAACAATGCTTTATATGAATACTGGTCCTTCCGGGGTAAGTGTCTATTTCATATTCATCTATAAACATATCCGTATGTAATTTAAGTTAGGGAGTGTTTTATAATATTACCTGTATTTTTATACAATTGTTTTTTGTTACAGTCTTTCGTTCTTCTTTTTAACCGACTTCGAAAAAGGAGGAGGTTCTCAATTCGACTGTATGTTCTTTTTTTCTTTTTTTTTTGTATGTATGTTACGCGATAACTCCGGTATTTGTGAACCGATTTTCATGATTCTTTTTTGTTGGAAAGGGGGTACTTCCATAGTGGTCCCATTTCATTTTGAAGAAAATCATCCACCTCGAAGGGTGGCGGCTCACGCATGAAGATTCATTTTTATAAATAGCGCCTAAATTTAATTTAGGAGCAATTACTTTAATGGTTGATTTTGCTATTTCTCCAATTCAAGGCGTTTTTCTCTCAATATACTTTGAGTAGTGAGAACCGATTTTTATTATCTCCAGTGTCAAGTCGTGTATAGTGGCGAACTAATTCATGTGGACCGAGGGTTACTCTCATTATTACGCAAGACCCGCGTGACAAAATATAACTACTTACATGTTTTTAACCGAGAAGGTAGTGATACTGATATAACCAAGGGAAGTTGTTGATACCAAAACGAAGGAAATGTCGTGAGGACATTACCTACTGTACCGACCTATTGCGATAAAAAGCAGCTACTACTAAAAAAGGTATGCTCCAGCGTTTACGTAGTAATTATATCTCACGATGTCAAATTGCTTATGTGTCAGTCCTTAACCAAGTACCTACTCACTCAGTCACATCCTCGTCAGGAAGTACATGCAGAACAACATTTCCAGTTTCCTGGTCGATGAAGATATATCCTTCGATTGCTGTGGTCAGCATGTTGACACGTTGCATCACACCGATTAGTGAATTTGACAGCATTGACAGGCATGCTTTGGCCGAGTCTGTTAGATCCATTGGCACTATAGGAAAGATTAAGCAACAGTTGATGATGTCGAAAACGAGAATAGTGGAAGAAACTAGAAATATTTATAGGAAATGCAACTATATTTCCGGATTTAAATCGCGTATATTTATTTTTTCAAACAAACCGACGTTTCGGGCCCTTTACTGGTCCCATGCCTTCATTTCCTATAATATAGAAATATTTATTCACATAAGAAATTGGAAGAAAGCACAGTTGTAGACAGGTATGTACTTGACGAATACAAGGGTCAGTGGAGAATAAATCCAGTCTCGACGAGAGTCCATGCACAACTAGTTGTTTGGATTTGACATTTAAGGCAGAATGGCTATCAAAATTCAGACGTGTCTATTTTCCAGAAAATCGAGTCGCTTTGATCTGACTCCCACTTTTTGTGGTATATTGATAGCTGACCGTCTGCAGCTACTTAGAATGCACCTGTAGAGCCTTACATGCACATTCCCGAAAACGTAGCCTGCTTATTCCACAGGATATATCACAGACAGTGTGCAATGGAATTACATGATTTAATTTCGCCTTACTCTCCGTCATTGGGTGACAGACGTAAAGCTGGGGTTCCACCCTTAAATTCTGAGTATTCCAAGGAATCGCACGAAGCGTTACTCTTCCACATTTACATGGCGAACAGCTATGGAGTGAAGTTCCTGCCTGCAGACTTATTTCTTGAATGCTTTAACTTGGGCTTTTCAAGGCGAGAATGTGCATGCTCCATCGTCGACCTCATTGTCACTTTTTGTCAGGCAAGGCGGAGGTCCAGAACAATAATGCTGTTGTTAAAAAAAATTGGTTATGGTTAACATTAAAAGAACTTACAGTCCGTAATCATATCTCCCCCTTTATTGCAATCGCGATTGAATAATCTAACACCTGATACGATTTTGAATAACTCCTGCACTTGTTTCATTTTATCACGTCGTGTTGCCGTCACCCACAGGTATAGTTCTTGCATGCTAAATACGCTTTCTAGAGCTGCTATGCCTTCTTTTAGATTCTGGAAGCGCCAAGTTAATTTTAAACACAAGATATTGATTTAAAGAAAATTGACATAACATTCCCAATTGTAATTAGTTATTTTACGTAAATAAAAACGTTATAATCCCAAACAGAATGCAAAATGACCGTATTTTGGAAGTTTTTATAAAGATTTAGTTAGGTTACTTTGTGTCTTGACTAACGCCTCAATTCTGTTAACCCAACAAAGCGTGTCCAGCATTCGTACTCTTAAGGGTGGTTACACACGATTGCATCGATGCAATAGCCTATAAATCGCAAGTGTAGCGATGCAATCGCGAGTTTGTGTCGGTGCAGTCGGTAAAGGTTGACGATTAGCGACTGCATTGCCATTGCACCACATTTGCATCGCTGTTAAGAGTCGCCGTGTGTAACCGCTCTAAATCGTAAAAGAAATGTTAGATTGCGCAAGGTTAATTCGCGTTCTCAGCCAAAAAGCTTGACAGGGAGCGACCCTTACTTCCGACTGCTGGGCACAAGTGTCCTAACAGACGAGGGTTTAGGCCGTATTCGGCCGCCCTGTTCCGCTGGTTCCATCACGACGTTTTCCTTCACCGAAAAGCTCATGGTAAATTTCAAATTGAATTCGAAGTCATAACCTCTGCTCGAGAGGCGGTAGATCGAACCATTAGGTTACCACGGCTTAAAAATAATACTAACCATTACAACACCTGGATTCCCCAGTCCACTGGAAAGTAATATGTAAATGGAGATCTTTCTATATAACTTCTTGACCTCTGAGTCGTCCTCGTTATCAGGGTCAGCATCTAAGATTTCTTCGTACAATGGTTGAAGACAATTCTTCATGTGTTTTACGTGTTTCTCTACTAGAACCTCCAAGACATCGTAGTTGGATATCATAACGAATTGCATTTTTAATGTGTTTAGTGATAAATCACCACCTGTAGACAATATTATTACCTAAACACTAAAATTGAACATGAAATGCTCACGTATTATCTCGTAATTTTGAAGTTAGAGACGAAACGGCTATTTCTGCGGGTTAAGTTATTGTAACCGTTTAACTTCGGTTTAGATTTGTTGCTACCTGAAGGCCAAAATACTTCAGTATTTGACTGACACACTCACGCTAACTGACGTAAGCAGATGAAGTACCTAAAGGTATTGGCATGCCTAAGAGGCATTTCAGCTGCGGGTAGACATCTGCTGAAAGTAGGTCTTCTTAACGGCAAGCAGATAACATCGTACGGTCCCTGGAGGTCTGCATCCAAAACGCCTGCATGCAGGTATCCTGCGACTTTCACCAGTCGCCAGCATCTCCATATATTTTAGTAAAGACCGAAGGCAAATCACAGCACTATCCAGCTGTCTGGACTGTCATACTACTTTACTTTACATTAATACTTATGTCACATTGCATACTGAAGTAGAATCCAGCTGCTGACACCACGACAAAGACGTCAAGGTCGCCATTTTAAAAAGTGGCCCCGCCCACACCACCGCCATATTTAAAACCAAACCACGCCTACAAGGCAACCATATTGAAACCGACGAATCAACCTCCAATTAGCTTCTGAAGTCCTGGTACCATCGACATTATATCACTGGTCGGCATCCACTTTCGTCCCCACGCATTGTGGTCTAATATTTCTGCCACCATTCATACTACCACTCAGAAAT